CCTGTTTGACAAGAGACATTCTCACTCATATGGGTTAATACAAAATCCTTGCACTAGCTTGAATTCTCTTAACTCTTTATGTCTCATCCCTCTTTCACTTGCCCCCACTACTATTTCACACATAAATATTTTTTTTTATTTAAAAAATAATATATATTTTTTAAAATAATTATATTTTAATAAAATAAATAAAATAAATTTAAATTATTATATGTATAAAATATAGATTCAGAAAAGAGATTCACTTATTTGATATTTATCAAATATTTGAAAGATATTAATTCTCTTATGTGATAAATAATATTTCTTAATAACGAATCAATTTTTTTAAAAAGTCTAATTATAATATATATAGAGTTAATCTCCTATATACTAAATACTGATAGTGTAAAGTTTTTTATATTGGTAACCAATTATATCTTTTAATTGTACCATTTCATTGTTAAAAGTAAATGTGTTTACAGTGACATGACATAATTAAAAAATATAATTAGTTGACACTGTAAAAATTTTAGACTGGTCGTGTATAGGTGATTAACTCATATATATATATATATATATATATATATATATATCTTAATACTCACATATATAATGTAATATATTAAAAAAAATAATTTTTGATAAAAATGAAATTTACAGTATGTATGTTTACCTTTTGCGTTTTCTAGTTATTGTATATGTTGGTTAAAAAAATTAAAATAAGAAAAATCGGAAGATTTATGTTCCATTTAGAATTGTTATATAAAATATTTTAAAATAAATTATCATCCACAAATATATATTAGATATTAAAAATATGTTTATATCAAAAATAGTGTTAAATTATTATAAAGTAGGTCTTTAGGATTGTAGTTCTAACCAAATATTTAAAAAATGTCTATGATAGATAAATAAGTCATATTTAGGATATATATTTTTAAAAAGTTAGGTTCAAATCTATTAAATTATAATAAAATTTAGTCTAACCTAATTTATTTTCATCTTTACTTGTAATCATAGATATAAAAACTTGTAAAAAATAATTATGATATATATTTATGCTTTTAAAAGTTATATGTAAAAATTTTAATATTACAAATATATAAATAAGTATTGCCCCCACTCTTTAAAATTTTTGGATCCGTCATTGAGTACAGGGATGAGTGACCTTTTGGGAAGTTTTCCAGAAATTGCACAAATAAGAATAAAACACGTTAAACAATGAAATATCGTGAAATAGAACCCTTGAGAGGCCAAATATGAGGGTTGTTACATTAATATATTTATTAAAATTAAAAAAAATATAATTTTCACGAAAAATTCCTTCAGGGTAATTTCCCACGGATATAAATCCATGAGAAAATCCGTCGGAAAGTTACCCACGGATAAAAATCCATCGGTAAATATTTCAGACGAGAAATTTACCGACGGATTAGTGTCTGTCGGTAATCCGTCGGAAATGCACTATTACCCACAGATTTTTGGCATTTCCTACGGATTCTGGCCATCTGTAATAGCGAATTTTCTTGTAGTGCTTGAATCGCTTGGAAATGGGAAGACGGAAAGAAGAAAACAAAAATCTCAAAATCCCCTATACGAAGACTTCTCTCCAAGATTCTCAACTATCAAACTTATGAATCTTTAGTCTAATGCGACCACTCAACTATACAAAAGGGCTTGAATGCTATAATAAAATCAAAAGAAGAAAAATGATCTATTTGGCTCCAGATCTTATCTCCCTAACTTTTCTCTAGATTTCTTAAAGAAATAACTTTATGAAGTTCAAGTCTTAAGAAAACCTTATATACCTAAAATTCGCTAATAATGACCTAAACTCACAACAATTACTAAACAGTAAACTCATAAAAATTCCTTAATCTTTAGAACTTTAGAACATTAAAACAACAGATCACATAAATCCTTTACTTAATAAAATTAAATAAATAATAATATATTTCATAGTGTTACAATTTACTATATTATTATTATTATTAAAATTTAGTGTTAAAATAAAAATAAAAAACTAACATGTACATTGACATACATTCACGCACAGATTGTAATGAAAGAAAATAATCTTATAAAAAAGACTTTTTGAATATTCTCTATATCCTATTTAAAACATTCTAAATAATCAACCATGAAGATGAAAGAAAAGAGTAACAAAAATGCAACTGCTAGAATTTTTATTTTCAACTTCTTAATTTTGAATAGGAAATATAAAGTGTATAAGTGTAATAAAAATGAAAAAAATATATGAATAATTAATTTTTTTCATTACAAATTTATTTATTTAATTATATTATTATTAATGTAATATGTATATTTTTTTTAAATAAGTCTAAGCTATTTTTTTATAAAAAAATATAAACTTAGGTCAATATTTAAATAGATAAGATCATAAACTTTTGTTTAAAGTCTTACATATTTTCATCTTTAGACACCACAATAGTATTGGTGTTACAACTACACCTTCACACAAAAAACACTACTCATTTTTAAGTAATAAGAATTTTTAAAGTAAGTTTATTTTAAAACTAAAAAATCTAAAACTAAAATTTGGTAATAATTAAATTTTGAAATTTATAACTAAAAATCACCTATATATATGACTTTTTATTTATTTTTTTAATAATTTGAATCATTTTTGACCAAATATGCCTTAACACTATCAATACCTTGTTGGTCTAAGTAATATCATATTTGATCCCCTTAAGCAAGACTTTCTGTTCAAATGAATGAAAAAAAAAGTGTTGATAAAAAAAATCTCACTAAAGATGGACTAGAGAGGTTCTCTTCCAAAAATTAATCTTCTACAAAATCCGTAAATACTTCATAACAATAACATAAATTAATATATATATATATATATATCAAAAAAAGAAACACATGATGGGGGTGGAAGAAAAAGAAGAAACACATATTCTGTGGGCAATTCTTTTACATGGTATGTTGTTTCCTCCAAAATGCATGATAGTCTTTTTAGTCACTGACCCAACTTATTATAGTAAGTAATTAAGTAATGATTAGTCCAGAAATTAAGAAATATTTGTCTCCTGTCTGCATTGAAATTGTTGACCAAGTAGCCAATTTAATATTCGAACTCCAAAAACTCATTATTTTAACGATTAAATTATTCAACTAGATTTTATTTTTATTATCATCAGTGTTACTTTCACCAAATAAGAACACACTTTTTCTATCTCTAACCTATTTTTTATATTAGTTTGTCTCGGTCACTTATAACAAAGAGGATTCGATGATTTCCACTTTGGAATAGAGCATCTGTTCCAAGATCAAGTACAACATATATTCATATAAGAAAGTAAAAAGTCATCTGAAAAAAAATCACTTTTTTTTAATTTTTATTTTTATTTTTTTAACAGTCAATTTGATATAAAAAAAAATAAAAAGTACAAATAAATATTATTTAACATTAATCAAAGAATAAAATAAAATATTTTAATAAAAATAGCATTTTAATATGTAGAATACACACAATAAATATTTATATTATATAATTAAATTATAATAAATAATTTTTTAAATATGTAAATTATATTTTAAATTTATAATAAATAATTTATATTGTGATATAAAATTATTTTAAATATTAATAATTTTT